AATGTTATATTATTTTGAGTTCATTATATACTATCCCCATTAATCAATCTACAAAGAATTCTATCTTTAAACTTATTTACCAATCACTAGTTCGTTAGTTCAAAATATCTTTCCATATGGTATCCATCCATGACAGTTTTGATTATAAAAGATGAAAACTCTGTTCAAAAAGGATGAAATAACATAAAGGCTTTCAGATCATGGAATTATAAGAATATAAGCTATATGTAAAAAATAAGAGAAGTTAAATAAAAATGATATTGAATGAGTTAAATGATACAATCTCTTAAGAAAAAAATTAGCATCATGAAATAAACATCTTACTTATGCTCATATAGATGACTCTATTGAACTAAAATGATTCAGCCAACATCTGCTCTCCTCATCCAACCTATTCGTTAGCAGGAACGGGTCTCAGTTTAAATCAAATAGATCCGACTGACAAATCGGATGACGGATCCATCCTCGGATGAGGCGAACGATGATAATTTGATAAATAATAATATTTTACGATTAAGATCATAATAATCTGTTTCATCCGATCAAATTTAAGGTGTAAATATTAAGTATACCAGCTCTATGATCAAGAAATATTTTAATTAGCAACCCACTTTTTGTATACCTTCGTTATCATATTCCTTTTAATACATTCATTCAAACTTACCGTTCTATGACTATTTCTTAGATCTATTCCAAATATTGCAACGATAAAGCCCACATACAGTATATAAATTTCTATAAATCACGTTGATTATTTTTTCCTGATGCAGGGCGTAATTCTCTGCCGTTAAATTAGATATAGTTGCCACAAAAGAGGGACCATGGTGTACAGTATACCTGACATTAAATTTAAAACTTTAATTCTCAAATCGGGAATAGTAAAACGGATTGCCCACTCATTTGTCCAAATATTAAATATTTTTATTTTAAATATCGCATGAACAATAGAACAACAGTAAAATATATTTTGAATTTCTTAAGGACATACAGTATCAGACTTTTGAAGTCGCCTACAGTATCATGTTAATGAATATATTAAATATAAATTAAAAAAAAATTAAGAATAACAACCGGAAAAATAAAAAAAAAAGGATCATATAATAAATCTAATTGACCATTACAAACCCTGATAAAAATACTGGAACAGTCGTTTCTGTTTTCCTCACCGAAATACGTATCGTAGAATTCTTTTACTTATCTAATAATATTTTATTCAACTCTTTTTTAAAAATTAGGAGAATCTACGATTGTACAGTCAACTCTCTCTAAGTGCACGTATTATATATTTTTTCTCTAAATGCACCCTCTTACTCAGTCTCAAGTATATTATTTCTAAATGCACACACTCTCTAAATGCACGTTTTTTCAAATTTTCATTATGGTCCAAGGGGGGTGCACTTAGAGATAGTTGTATCTAAGACTTTTTTAAAAAAAATCAGAATTTGAAGAGTTCAAAAATAGAAAATAGATATCATTTAAAGAATATATGAATTTTCGTTGATTTGAATCTTTAAACCTTTTTAGTCATTTATAAATGTATCGTGGCGAAAAAAAAGATTAAATTGATCTAGAATGTAACACAAAATCAATAAAATCGGAAGATCTTTTTTTTTTTTTTTTTTTAAAAAATTCATACATAAACGTTAATCGTTCTTCATTTTATCAATTCATATTAAGAGTATCACAATGATAAAAAATAGTTCAAATAGCAATTTTCAATTTCTGCAATATTATTATACCGAAGAAACGCCTTAAACACAAAAAGGTATTCATATCCAATATGTCTTCTTCTATAACGCTTCCAGATTCGATGTCATTTTCTCATTTCTTTATTTCGAGAACTTTTACTCAATTTATCCAATAGTCATGGATACTGTACATATGGAAAAGTATTCCCAAACATCTAGTACTTAAAGAAAATCAATACGAGAATTGAAAACATATTCAACATCATCAGCGTAATCAGATGTATAGATATCAAAAAATAATGGTGATAAAAATACCCTTAATTCTACTAACATCCCATAGTATCGATCAGTAAACTGAAAGAATTCTGGTGGCGTATATTTTGGCGAGAAAAATGAGAAAGGTTGTGTCAATATTATCAAGGTTCGTAACGGTTAATGAAACTGATTACATTATTTTTCAATTTAAATTAACATGTTAGTAATTAACATAATACTGCAGGCGGCTTCAAAAAACTGGTACCGTATATCTCTCAGGAAATTAAAAGATAATCGTTGTTCCATTGCACAGGCAAGGATATTTAATATAAAATATTTAATATTTGAATTTTCCCGATTTTGAGAATTAAAAAAATTTTAATTTAATGTTTATTAGGTACACCTCGACTGAAATTTATTATAACCAGTTACATATTATAGTCCTTCTTTCGTGGCAACCAAATCTAATACGTTATCATTTGACGGTAGAGGTTTACGTCCTATATCAGGAAAAAATAATCAACGTGATATATGGTGCAATTATATAATTTATACAATGTGGCGGCTTTAAAGTTGCAATATTTGGGGTTAACTAGATCTAAGAAATAATTGTGGAACGGTAAGTTTGAATGAATGTATTAAAAAAAATATGATAATGGAGATAGTTGCTAATTAAAATATTTCTTGATCATAGAGCTGTTAGTATTTACACCTTAAAATTGATCGTATGATGATCTTAATCGTAAAATATTATCATTAATCAAATTATGATCATTCGCCATCCGATTTGTCAGATCGGATTTTCTACAAACCCAGGAAACTCCTTGAAATCAATCGACGTATTCTGGATCCGAGGAAGTGGTAAACATTACAAAAGATAACCATTCAATCAATAAACCCATAGATAGGTCTAGGAGAATGGAGGAAAACTTATCGTAGATGGGATACAAAGACTTCATTAAAGCCATCATTGAAAGTGATTGAAGTATATAGTAATGATATTAACGCAGTTTTGTGCGGAGAATCTTCGAAAGGATTTAGAAGTAAAACCATATAATAAGCGCGTCAATTCAATCAGTTTCGGGGATGGAAGAAATTCCAATTAAATAATAATTGGAATTATGGAAAAAAATAGCGGCTCGCGATAAAAGATGAGATTTCTGAGGAACTGGACTGGATTTCGACTTTTGAACCAACGCACCTAGAGTTCTAGAGTGGTCAAATGCAGAGTTTAATAACGTAGATTTAGTTTATTTTATTTAGGAACACTAATTTTTTATTTTTTGTAGGTAAAGTAGGGTTATGTCTATTTTACCGTGGAAAAGGGTATGGTCAAGTGGAGAATTTTTGTCTGGTATCGAATACGTTTCCGTGAACGGAAATTAACGTGACTTTACTTTTCTAGATAGAAGATTTATTAGATTTTAGTTTTCTTTATTTCAAGTGTTATAGTGTTTTTAGTAAAGTTTAGTTAGCCTATTAGATTAGATCTTTTTTGTTATAGGGTCATATCATATTTGTATGTATGCCTCTAAGTGTTTCTATTTGTAATTGTTAGTACTTTTAACTAGTTACTTTAATTAATGAAAAAATGCGTTACAAAAAAAGAAACATTTGTCAGACGGATCTATTTGATTTACCTGATGAGCAAGCTGCGTCCAGATCCCGCTAACGAATAGGTTGGATGAGGGGTAAGAACAAGATGTTGGCTGAATCTTCTTAGTTCAATGATTCATCTATATGAGAATGTAAGATGTTTATTTTATGATTTAAATTTTTTCTTAAAAATCATTTTTATTTATATAAATTCACTATAACTTATATTCCTATAATTTCATTATCTGGAAACCTTTATACTTTTTCATCCTTTTTGAATAGAGCTCTCAACTTTTATAATCACAACTGTGATACCATGGGTAGCACTTTGAACGAATGAACTAAAAGAGTTAAACAAGTGATTGGTTAGAATTCTAATGATTAATAGGGATAATAGGTAGTGAATTCAAATAATATAACATTTTGATTGTGAAAGTATAATTTTAGCGCTTCAACTAGGAAAAAAAATATATTTAATATAGGTTAAATAGTTAGTAATTTTATAATATATTAATAATTAGATCACAATAATATACCTTGGTGTTCAAGAAGTGATAGAGATTTATTTAAAGGAGCCAAAATGAGGCGGGTAGATAAGCAAAATTTCCTGTATTAATTAGTAAAAAGGTGTGGTGACTTGAATTTAAGTTAATGATTTCTTTTATTTTAACGTGATTTTATACGAAAATAAATAATTTATATATTTGCATTAATTTCTCTATTTATCAAATATCAACTTTTTTATTATTTACGTGGACTGTGTGAATTTAAAATAATAATTAAAGAATTCATGACACAAATTGCTTTGAATCTCTTGAAAATCTCGACTATAAATTAAATATATTTGTTTAAACATCATGAAATCTTTAGGTAGATCGGTCCATGCATTATTTCAACGTGGATCCACATCGAATTTTGTGGACCGAGGAAATATTTGAACTATTCAGATTTGTGGATTTCCATGTGGATTTTAAGTAGAAAAAATTTCCTGAAGAAGGAACTAAGATATTATACACTTCTTAAAAAAAAAAAGGATCGAATAGAAACCTTGCAGAGTTTTCTAAAATATTTTTTAAAAATAAAATAAAACATAGGTTATACTTAAAAATTAAATTATTATTAGTACCTTTTTTTTAAAAAAAAAAATTTTTCGTAATTAAGTCCGATTTTACTTCGATCCATCTTTTCGTTTAATTTTGCAGAATAATCAAAATAATGTTTTATTGGATTTTTTTTACAAAAAAAACAATTAAATTAGTTACACCTTAATTGTAATTCATTTAGACCGGAAACTACAGCCAAATGCATCAGCATCATTATTAAACTTATGTGCATCATTATTAAAAAATCTAACTGCATTTAGTTAAATTCGAATGTTAATGTTCTGCGTATAAAACAAGCTCATAAAATCGATTTGTGTTTTGTAAATTTCTTATGAAAATTTACGTGAATTTGTGTAAACTTACATAGGATTACACCAACATCGCAGAGCTACGAATTTTTACATCTAAGATAATTTCCGGTGAAATCATCATTACAAATACTGTAATTCCTTTCTTTGAACATGAGTGAATTTGATGAAATTATATTATGTTCTGATTGTAATCAACCTGAAACTGGGGTTAAATGGTGTCGAAGTTGCAATTCTAAGCGGTTTCGACAAGATTTCAGTAAATGGACTAGTGGAAATAATTTTGTAGATAAGTTTATACAAGACGCTCAATCAAAAGCAAGAAACCATTTGGAAGTTATAGAATGGATTCCATATAATCGTTTAAGGAATATACAATATCTTGCTAAAGGTGGATTTAGTATAATTTATAAGGCCGTTTTGTTAGATGGATTTATCAATAAATGGGATAAAGAAAATAAACAATGGGAGAGATATTATAATGAAATTAAGGATGAAGATTACGAAGATGCGAAAAAAGGTAACATTGAGTCACCTCTTAATGAAAATGAAAAACATGGATATAATATTGTATTAAAAAGAATAAATAATTCCTCAAATATCAATGATGATTTTTTAAATGAGGTAAATAATTTTATAAATAGATAGATTATTTTATTTATTAATAAATACAAATTAACATATTTATTTTCGTTGATTTAGTTGAAAAATTATTTGAATTTTGTACGTTCAACAGACAATAATAAACTTCTTTCGATTAAATTACATGGAATTACTCGAGTCCCAGAATCAGATTATATGATTGTAATGGAACATATGGAACTTGGTAGTTTAAAATCCAATTTAATGGTAAAAAGATGCAACCCAATTGATAAATATTATAATTTATACTTTATAGCACAATCACTTTCAAAATTACATAATTGTAATTTGATTCATGGTGATCTCCATAGTGGTAATTTACTTTTGTCAAATAATTTAATTGCTTATATAAGTGATTTTGGATTAAGTAAACCAGTAGATAAACCTACTAAGCCAAATGTAATTTATGGAGTACTCCCTTATATTGCTCCAGAAGTATTACGTGGTAGACCATATACAAAAGCTGCGGACATATATTCCTTCGGTATTATTATGTGGGAAATGACTTCTGGAATTCCTGCTTTTAATAAAATGCCTCATGATCTTGATCTTGCCTTAAAGATTTGTCAAGGATTACGACCAGAACTTGTTGAAGTTCCAAAGATTTTTGATGCTAAAAATGTTCAAAAAAAATATGAAGACACAGAAGCTGAATACATAGAATTGATGAAAAAATGTTGGGATTCTAATCCCGATAAAAGACCGAAAGCTGAAAAATTATATGAAAATTTTCGTAAATGGTTTGGAATTATTCCTAATACATCCATACCAGGTTAATATTAAAATCATTTTAAGAATAATATGTTTGTTAATTTGTTAATAATTTATTTTCTTTTTTTCTATTATAGAAAATGAAACTTTTATCGAAAATCATCCATCATCTTGTTATACGAGTAGAAAAATTGATTATGCTGAAAAGTTAAATGAAATTTTAGATCAAGAAGAAAATTTAGGTAATTATTTTCTACAATTTTTTTTTTTTGGTTTTTCTATCAAAAAATAAATTTTTACTTTAAAATGTATATATGTGTAGAAAGCTGTAGGATTTTCTAATTAAGATACACGGTAAGTAAGAATGTACTACTATTTCTAACCTTATTTTTATAAAATTTAAATAAAGAAAATTCTATCGAAAATTGTATATAGATCGACAAACATTGAATTGGTAAAGAAATCTATTTTAAGGAAATGTTTGGCTATTGAAGGTAATCATTCAAGTAGATAAAGTTTCAAAAGTCTTTGTAATTTTTTGCGCAGATCCTCGTGAATTTCGGACAAGAAAAATCTATTTCTTACATTATGCAGTGGACGAACTTTATTTTTGTAAATCAAGCCACTGGCGCTCAACGCCATAATATATTCGAAGTATATATTGCAGAATTAAATATTGCAATGTGGAATATAATTATTATATTGATAGAATCAGCTTAGCTAATCTACTAATAATATAGAATAATACTGTAAGTTAAAGTAACAAATAAAAAATACATACTTTTCTCTTTTTTTGCTTATTGAAATTAAAGATATAAAACAATACAATATCTTTCATTTTTATGTACTGATGCCCGATACCAGTCGGATTCTATTTTCCATTTTGTCGACATTCCTAATATTCAAGCATCCCATATTAACTGGCAATATTGTTTTAACGCTACAAAGGGCGTATTACCAAGAAAATATAGTTTCATATATAATAAATACATACCCGGGTTTGGATCAGGACGAGAACTTTTAAAGAATATAGTTGATTAAATTATTTACATAAAAAGAATTGCAAAAAGATTGTAGTAGATTTGCCTTTGAAATTGTGAGTTTTAATAATTCTCCTACGTGTTGTGTCGTTGTGATGCAAAAGCGCAATATTTCTTACGCCTTAAAGTTCTTTTTTCTAAAATTTAAAATATGTATGCAATATGTACAGTAAATTCCAATAAAAAGTTCTTATTTACAAATTCGATTTTATGAGGTTCTTAGAACTTGTTTATTAAAGTTTGAAAACATTCGAATTTTAACTAAGGTTTTTTTTTAATAATGATGCATCCATCATGCAAGTTTAATAATGATGCTGCGGTTTGGCTAAATGAATTACAATTACAACAATTACAAATAAGAGACCGGGTTAAACTCTATGCAGGCGTAAGACAGAATGAGAACTAACTTAAATTCTTTTGCAGAAATAAAACTTAATTTTTTAAGTCCGATTTTACTTTGATTCTTCTTTTCGTTTAATTTTGCAGAATAATCAATATAATAAGAAAATGATGTTAAGTTTTTTTTTCGTAATTAAGTATATATTTTATTAGGTCTAGCTACAGTATCTTCAAATTGTAAATTTATAACCTCCGAATAACCGGAAATTATTCAGATTATACTTACTGACAATCAAATTTGTAATATTTTTTTTTTCGATTTTTTTTTTTTAAAGAAATGTATAGACGAGCTTCGAAACATGAATTCCTCAATTATCATTTTAAAGAAATTATATTATTTGAATTTATATACTGTATAAGATTATTTTATTTTTTATATAAAATCACATTAAAATAAAAGAAATCATCAAATTTTAATTTAAGATACCACATCTTTTTACTAAATAATATAGGAAATTTTGCTTATCTACCCGCCTCATACATCACTTCTTTAATTCCTCTAATAAATCTCTACCACTTTTTGTACACCAAAGTATATTATATCTATTATGCTATCTAATCGTTAATATATTATAAATTGCTAACTATTTAACTCATTTTAAATATTTTTTTCCCCTAGTTGAAGCGCTAAAATTATACTTCCAAGATAAAAATGTGATATTTTGAATTCATTACATATTATCCCTATTAATCATTAAATCTACAAGGAAATTCTATCTTTAAACATATTTACCAATCACTTGTTTAAATCTTTTAGTTCATTTATTCAAAGTATTTTCCACTTGGTATCCATTCATGACATAGCGTGGAATTAAAAAATGTTTGGAGTAAATTAATAAAAAAATTATCGTGGTTTTCTTTCTACCTTGGTTAAAATGGGTTTCAGTTGCAAGGTCAGTTCAATTTTTATTTTTGTTGGCGAGTTGGAAAATCTGGCAGGAATTATAGGAATATAAGTTATATGTAAAAAATAAGAGAAGTTATATAAATAAAAATGATATTAAATGAGTTAAATGATTGAGTTAAATGATAGAATTTAAACAATTTTTTAAGAAAAAATTAGCATCATAAAATAAACATCTTACTTATGCTCATATAGATGAATCTATTAAACTAAGAAAGTTCAGCCAACATCTTGCTCTCACTCTTCATCCAACCTATTCGTTAGTGGGAACGGTCTCAGCTTGCTTGTCAGGTAAATCAAATAGATCCGATCTGAAAAATCGGACGACGGATTCGTCCTCGGATGAGGCGAATGATGATAATTTGAAAAATAATAATATTTTACGATTAAGATCATCATAATCCGTTTCATATCAATCTTAAGGTGTAAATATTAAGTATACCAGCTCTATGATCAATAAATATTTTAATTAGCAACTCACTTTTCGTATATCTCCATTATTATATTCTTTTTAATATACTCATTCAAGCTTACCGTTCTACGATTATTTCTTAGATCTATTCAACCCCAAATATTAGTCACCGCATTGTATAAATTGTTAATTACTCATATATCACGTTGATTTTTTTTCCTGATATAGGACGTAAACTCTACCGTCGTATTAGATTTGGTTGCCACGAAAGAGGGACAACAATATATAATAACTGATTATAATAAATTTCAGTCTAAGTGCACCTAATGAACATTAAATTGAAATTTTTTAATTCTCAAAATCGGAAAATTAATTATTAAATATATTATATTAAATATCCTTGCCTGTGTGGAATCAAGCCCACTTTGTGGAAAGACACTGGAGAGGACTGCAATGGAACAACGATGGAATATATTTTTAATTTCTTGAGAGATATACAGACCGCTTTTTGAAGCCGCCTGCAGTATTATGTTAATTAACATATTAATTATGAATTAAAAGATAATGTAATCAGTTTCATTAACCGTTACGAACCTTGATAAATATTGGCACGGTCGTTTTCATTTTTCTCACCAAAATATACGCCATCAGAATTCTTTCACTGATTGATACTATGGGATATTAACAAAGTAGAATTAAGGATATTTTTATCACCGTTATTTTTTGATATTTTCACGTCTGATTATGCTGATAATGTTGTTTGCAATTCTCTTATTGGTTTTCTTTATATTAGTACTAGATGTTTGAGAATACTTTTCCATATGCACAGCATTCATGTTTATTAGATTATATAGAATAAATTGAGTAAAAGCTCTCAAAATAAAGAAAAGGGAAAAGACGTCGAAACATAATATGATGGAAGCATTAGAGAAGGCATATTGGGTAATATGAATGTGTTTAGCGCGTTTCAAATTAAAAGCCAAAGCGAGAATAGCATTAATCGCGCTAAAAAAATAACTTTTTGATGGTTTGGTGATTTTGGTAATCACACAATGCTATTTTAACTATTTTTTAGCAATGATATCATTGTGTTACATTCTAGATCAATTAGGATATCGATCTCTTTTTCACGTTCATCACCACGTTCTCATAACCACATTACTGACAGGTTTTAAAGCTCAATTAGTTTATTGAAGGTATAATAGTAATGTACTCGTGGTGGTGTTGAAAATAAAATTAATACATTATTCTTTAAATGATATCTATTTTTCTATTTTTCAAATTCTGATTTTTTAAAAAAAGACAACTAAAAAGCCTTAAATACAATGTAGTCTCCTAATTTATTAAAGAGTCGAATAAAATATCCTCTTTGCGTTTATTTTTGCGCTGTTTAGATGTAAAATAATTCTGCGATATGTATTTCGGTGAAAAAACAAAAACGACTGTCAGTATTTTTATCAAGGTTTGTAATGGTTAATGAAATTTATTATATTATCTGTTTTCTTAATTTTTCTTAATTTATAATTATAAACATGATATTGTAGGCCTTCAAAAGGCTGATACTGTATATTCTTGAGAAACTCAAAGATATACTTTACTGTTGTTCCATTACTCAGACAGGGATATTTTAAAATAAAGTATTTAATATTTAAATTGTTTATTAGGTACACTTCGACCTGAAATTCCTTATAACTAGTTATACATCATGACCCCTCTTTTGCAGCAACTATATTTAATAATTTATCATTTGACGGTAGAAGTTTACGTCCTACATCAGGAAAAATAGTCAACGTGATTTATAGAAATTTATACGGCTTTGTAGTTGCAATAATTGGAATAAATCTATGAAATAATCGTAGAATGGTAAGTTTGAATGAATGTATTGAAAATAATATGTGGATTGCTAATTAAAATATTTCTTGATTATAGAGCTGGTATATTTGATAATGTACCTTAAAATTGATCGAATGAAGCGGATCATGTTATTTTAAAATTTTTTCAAATTATTACTATTCGTCTCATCTAAGGATGAATCCGTCATCCGATCCGTCATATCGGTTCTATTTGAGACCCGTTCTTGCTAACGAATAGGTTGAATGAGGAATGAGAGCAAGATGTTGGCTGTATCTTTCTAATTCAATATATCCATCTATATGTCATATTTGATGATCATGTATAACATAAGCATAAGTATGATGTTTGTTTTTATTCAAAAAATTTTCTTTCTTAAAAAACTATTTAAATATTATTATTTAACTCAATTTTTTTTTATAATATTTCTTATTTACACATACAACGTCCTTTTTGGATAGATTCCTCGACTTTTATGTGGAAAAATGCTTTGAACCAATGTACCAAAAGATTTGAAAAAGAGATTGTAAATAAATTTAAAGATAGAATCTTTCGTTGATTTGATGATCAATAGGGATAATAGGTAATTAATTCAAAATAATTCAAAATAAAAAAAATTTTTGATCTTGAATGTGAAATTTTATCGCTTCAATTAGGAAAAGTATTCAATGAGCCAAATGGTTAATGGTTTTGTAATATATTAATTTAATTTATCAATATTAAAGGAAAGACGATAAGAAAATAATAGATGTATGTATTTTACGTAAATTGATGTTCAAGGAGTGTTAGAAGAACCGGAGAAGCCTTAGGTGGTGATGTATAAGGTTGTTAGATGATGCATCATGAGCAAAAATTCCTGTATTATTTTAATAAAAGGTATGATAACTTGGATTTAAATACGAAATATTATTGCTTAGTTCATTTAGAATTTTCATTGATGTTAGTAAACTAAGTAACTTTCCTAAAAGATCCTAAAATATCACAAATACGCGGTAAGGGATAGGTGTCAGCTTTTGTCATATCAATACGTTCTTCCTTTATTTACAGTATACAATAAAGGAATAATCGTATATACAAATAATATTGCATCACCAAACTTTAATTTTAATAAAATATTTTTATTCACATGAAGAAATTTTTTGGGTATTTAAAATGATATTTGAAGAATTCATGTCATGATGCTAAATTAATTTAAAGATTTTTAAAGATCTTTTCTATAAACTTAATAATTATAAAAGTAAAAATTATTGCCGATGGTTGAAATTTATGATGGGAATATTAAGATATAATAATAGTCTGAACGATAAACGAGATACTTTCGTTTAATTATGAAGAATAGTAATAATGAATGATAGATTTTATTTTCTGTAAAATAATGTTTTAACAAATTTTTAAGTTAATCAGATTTTCTTACACAACTTTTTACGGTAATGTACGATCCGATTTGAAACCATCCGGATTGGATCCGGATGAAGATACGAATGATTCGTAATTTGCTATTCTGTATATAAATCCGGATCCATCCGTTTGATTAGTACTATTTTATAGTAACGGATCCATTCGGATGGTCCATTATTTACGGACCGGATTAAACGGATGACGAATCCATCCGGATCGTAACACTACGGCCTCTTACTTAGTCCAAAGTATATAAAATTTCTCTCTCTAAATGCACACCATTTCTAAATGCACATTTTTTCAAATTTTCATTATGGACCCGGGGGTACAGTTGACTGTGTATGTATATTTTTTTATCACTTACTTTATTTAGTTATATTCCATATTTTTAAATATTTTTTGTTTATATAACTTCTTAAATATTTTATTTATATTAAATTTCCGCGCAAACTAAAGCTGTTAAAACTATCTTGCCTTTTTCGAATTTACCCTAGCATTTAGTTTTATTTTTATTTTGGACAGGAAAAGCCGTAGAAAAGAAAGTATTAGAAATATTATTAAATATAACTATAAAACTGTAAACGATTGTAGATATGGCAGACAAAATCAGCATTTAATCTAGCATTTTGCGAAAAATGACTTTAATTTTGAACTTTTGAAAAGCCTCAAGAATTTTTTTTTTTTTGCGGTTAAAGAGTACAGATTACGAATTTCTATATTATTGTCGTTGTGTGATTTTTTTTTTATTTTACATTATAAAATAATTATTTGTTAAATTCTAATTTATACTTACGGTTAAAATGGTGTTTGACTATGTTTTTTCAAAAGTTATCATATTGGGCCTTGAACAAAAATTTTCAAAATTATGGGTAAAATGTGGTTTAGTGCCATGCTTAGAAGGCATCCAATGACTTTTTATTGAACTAATAAGTAAGAGGGTGCACTTAGAGAAAAATTATATAATGCATGCACTTAAAGTGAGCGCGCTTAGAATACATATATTTTGCTATTATAAATTCTTGTAACAACTCTTTCTAGTGATAACGACAATCAAATTTATTTAATTAAGATACAGTATATTATTCAAATTTTTTTTTTTTTAAAACAGTAACGCGTTTATTAATTATGAACAAATGATTACATAATATAATATAACACCTAGAAGAAAGTAGACAGACAATCATACTAACCTCTATAACTGAGTTCAATCTCAATAAATCTAATGTAAAAGAGCACTACTAATCTAAAAAAATTATTTTCTAAATTTTTTTTTTTTTGATTTTTTAATATTTTCCTATGTTTTCTGTATTTTCTAAACATTTCATTAAACAAAAACTAAAAACAAACTACCACGATATTATTATTCAAAACTTTAACCTTGGAAGTTATTATATTCGGGTTGTTGATAATATTGCAAATTATCCGTATTAACAATAATTTCAAATCCAGGAATTTCGAATTTATAATGATTTACTTGTGGCTGAGAGGAATCGAAAGTCGTCGAATTTGGTAAGCAAACAAAATGATTTGAAGCTGGTTGTCCACCTTGGATGTTATTATATCCAAGTTGTTGATGATATTGCAAATTATCCGTATTCATGTTATTTACAGGATTTATGTGGCTATTACTAACGAAATTTTCGTTAATATAGTTTTGATTTTGATTTACTAATTGTGTTGCAACTGGAGAGTAAGAATTCACATAAGATTGATGTTGCGTATTCAAATTGTTTAAATTCATAACTTGGTTAGACTTTGGTATAACAATAATTTCAAATCCAGGAATTTCGAATTTATAAATCGTCGAATTTGGTAAGTTAACAATATGACTAGAAAAATTTAGATTTTGATCCATTTTGAAAGATTTATTTTAATATTTGGATTGGTTCACTTCTCGTAAGAAAGGAATTATCTTTTTTTTTTAAAAAAAAATCAAATTCGCTTTTTTTTTTGAGTTATTTATAAACTTTTTTTAGGTCTTCTTTTTAGAATCTTTTCTACATAGAAAAAGGTTGGTATTTGTATTTTAAAGTATAGAATCAAATCTTTCCGTGGCCAGGTAGTGGAACGACCGCAACGCCACAGCCACAATAAGAATATTTAAAAAATAACTCATTCAATACTTTATTAAATTAATAAAATACTGTCTTTAAAGAAAATAATTTGTAATATATTATTGTAAAAAATTCAGATTACTTCATAAAATACTTGATAAAAATTTATAATGTTGCACTATTGCTATAAGCCTTATTTTAGATAATTGATTGGTTTGTTAACAAATTGCACAATTGCCTAATGCATAATAATCTGCAAGTGGGCGATGTAGCTTATTATTAAAAAAAAGTGATTCTAATTATTAAAATATCTCTGTAATTATTTAACAACGTCATTTTGCAGATTTTAACAATAAGGATGAGTAGCGTAACCTAACACAGTTAAGTGGATTTTTTTTTAACAATTAGCAAATCTAACACAGGTTAAGTGGATTTTTTTTAACAATTAGCAAATAAACAAACTTAAGCCATATCCGGCAGTTAATTATTGTTAAAAAAAGTGTACGAATATTGGCGGAAAAAATGCACTAGAGATGGATAACCCGAAATATATTATGTAGTGATATAAGAAGAAATATAAAGATAGAGAAAGAATGTTTTGGTAAGAGCCTCACAGTTGTATCTAATATATCTAATATATAGTGCACTAAAAGTAGTTTTATATAATGTAATCGATGTATTCGTCTTTTTAGTTCCTTATTTTACGATCAATAAAGCGTTAAGTTATATATATATATTTTTTTTTAATAATGAAATTGCAATCTTCAAATTTTTCAAACTTATTTTCTGCGTATAAAAACAAGTAAATATTAAGAACCTTGTAAATTTTATTTCCTAATCTAATATAAGACGATGTTATTACGGTAAAATACTTTTGATATATGCGAAAGTATTGTCTATATTAAAAAACATTAAAAATTTCATTAATATCGAAGGTATTTTCCTTCTCAGCTACCACAACGTACACTCTTCCAAATGAATCTGTATTCTCTTGGTGATACGCTCTTTTTAGTGCTGACGTAATGTTAACGATTATTTGGTGATCGTCGAAGCGAAAAATGGAATATAACTTATTTTGACCACTAGTGGGTAAAAGGAAACAGTTTCTAGAGCTACGAATGACTGATCAAAGAAAAGTTATACATATATACAAAAAAAAAAAAAAATTAGAGATCCGATAGAATATAGAGTTGTTCTTACAATAATTTATACATACTAGTTATAACCGTGAATTTCTGAATACTCCTTTGCCGAAGCCTTTTCTTATCCCATTCAACAATAAGTAATGGTGAACCTCTAAATTTTGAAGCCCACTCGAAAATAAATTTTTTTGTGTCCGTATTGAAATTTTTTAGTTTGTCTGTCATGTTCTGATCGCTAGGGCAAACAATGTTATTATTAGTTTATTTATTATGGATAAGAGATCAAATTTGATAAAAAAAAAAAAAAAATTTTTTTTTTTTTTTTATCAAATTTGAAAATTACCTTATTTATATAATAAAAATTTTGCAGGCCTTTCTTCCTGCACGCATGATCCCTTAAATTTTTAACAATTACAACAATTAGAGATGTAACCTATTGTTTAATCTTATAAACAGAAATGGTAGGTATAGTGAACTCACTTAATAGTCATTTTAATAACACGTTCATTTTTCAATAACCGTTAGTACTTAATGACTAGGAGTTCGGTTATGAAACCTGGTTTAATTATTAACTACAAACTCGTAACTAACTAGTTTTAGCTAACTTCATCGGGTTGAGCATAAACCGGTTTAAAACCAGTTCGGAATAAACCCCTATTAATGCAGCCCTGAATATAGAGATATCACATTAATTAAAACTCATAACTATTGGTTTTAACATATGTGATATCTTTATATTATCACGGTAAGACATAATAACGTGATTGATTTTTAAATGAAACAAGATTTCCTAATAAGGTGAGGAAATCTTGAAATGTCGCGCAAGTATTTACACGAACTGAAATATTGAAAGATTTCCTTCAGATTTCTTTAACAGATATATAATTATTTAAGAAAACCTTCGGTTACACAACTATCTGGAAATGAGTTTCTTTAGCTACCAACTACGTTTAACTTCAAAACTGGAAATTCGCAGCTTGTCGATCTTTAAATTTATAAACTTACTATTTTTTTGAAAATAGCTCGGTTTCTTCGAATTTTCAACTAAAAGTGAATGAAATTAATTTTCGCTCAGTAAAAAATTTTTATTTATTTCTAAATTAACCCAAAGTTGATTGGTCAATTATTGATAATTGCTTTAATTATCATCCTTATAGTGTATCAATATTTATTCCTTGCGAAATCTTGTTTGACCTTAGTCTTTCTTCTAACGGATTGAAAAAATAAATAAATAAATAAATTATAAATATGAAAATATATAGTTACGTGACGGCCATTTATAAAATTTTAAATCATACAGTCATCTATTTTTTTTAAAAAAAAATTAATATTTATTAGTAAGTAATATAATTATAAATAAATATTGTAGTAGGATCCCGAGCTATACATAGAAAGGTCAGGTCCTGGTTATTTGCTTAGAATGAGCCAAAATCATGTAGATCGCTTCCATTTGTGGATAATACCGACCAGCATTACATAGTGCCGGCCCTGAAGAAATGCGTAGAGCTAATAGTAAATGTGTGCCGATCTCCCCCGACCTAAATATATAACTCGGGTCCTATTGTAGTATATTGTTACCTAAACATTCAGAAATTTCAATTATTCTACTTGTGTAACAGGATAATGGATGATTTTGAGTAATGGGAGTAATGAGTTTATTTTCTGTAAAAAAAAATAGGCTATTAACGAATTAAAATATACTATTCTTGAATAGGAATTAATATCTTACCTGGTATGGGTTCGGTTGGAATACATCCATACCATTCAGAAAAATTTCTAAATAGTTCATTAGATGTTGGTCTTTTACCAGAATCAGAATCCCAACATCTTTTCATTAATTCTAGATATTTTTTCTCCAAGTCCTCAAAAATCTTTTGTTTCTTTGTATCATCAAAAATCTTTGGAACTTCAACAAGTTCTGGTCGTAATCCTCGACAAATCTTTAAGGCAAGTTCAAGATCGTGAGGCATATTATTAAAAGCAGGAATTCCAGAAGTCATTTCCCACATAATAATACCAAAAGAATATATATCAGCACCTTTGGTATATGGTTTACCACGTAATACTTCTGGAGCAATATAAGGAAGTACTCCATAAATTACATTTGGCTTAGTAGGTTTGTCAACAGGTTTGCTTAATCCAAAATCACTTATATAAGCAATTAAATTATTTGACAAAAGTAAATTACCACTATGGAGATCACCATGAACCAAATCACAATTATGTAATTTTGAAAGTGATTGTGCTATATAGTATAAATTATAATATTTATCAATTGGGTTGCATCTTTTTACCATTAAATTGGATTTTAAACTACCAAGTTCCATATGTTCCATTACAATCATATAATCTAATGTTTCTGGATCTTGAGTAATTCCATATAATTTAATCGAAACAAGTTCATATTTTTCTGCCGAGTATATAAAATTCATATAATTTTTCCACTAAATTAATAGAAAATAAATATGTTAATTGTACAATATTATTAATAAATAACTTAATCTATAAAGAGATTATTTACCTCATTTAAAAAACCATCATTGATATTTGAAGAATTATTTAAGCTTTTTAATACAATATTATATCCATGTTTTTCATTTTCATTAAGAGGTGACTTAATGTTATCTTTTTTTGCATCTTCATAATCTTCGTCCTTAATTTCATTATAATATCTCTTCCATTGTTTATTTTCTTTATCCCATTTATTGATAAATCCACCTAATAAAACGGCCTTATAAATTATACTAAATCCACCTTTAGCAAGATTTTGTATATTCCTTAAACGATTATATGGAATCCATTCTATAACTTCTAAATGGTTTCTTGCTTTTGATTGAGCGTCTTGTATAAACTTATCTACAAAATTATTTCCACTAGTCCATTTACTGAAATCTTGTCGAAACCGCTCAGAATTGCAACTTCGACACCATTTAACCCCAGTTTCAGGTTGATTACAATCAGAACATAAGATAGTTTCATCAAATTCACTCATGTTCAAAGAAAGAAAGAAAGAGAGTTATTTTAAATGCAACATTCAGCCAATTCGCATAAATGTAATTAATAAAATGAAAATTATAATCAGTAACGATCTGCGATAGTTCAAATTTTTCAAAGTTGAAGCTCAGCGCTAAATGTCCATAAAATATGTATATTGTAAATATATGAATATTAATACAAATAATAAATAGGAGCTTTGTTGGACTTGAATTAGAACGAATCAACTTGAATAGTAATATCTTTGTTCAGGGCTAATTCGAATCTCGACTCGTTAATTTTCTTAACTTATAAAGCGCAGGGCAAAAAATTTTTAACGAGTATAGTGCTGACCAGAATTACAGTACTGTAAATCACGAGATCAATATTCTGACTCGAATCAAATAATCTCGAAAATAAAAAAGATCACCACCATTATATGTTATAACCACTATAACCACTATAACCTTCCAGAATTTTGCGACAGAAATACTCCTAAAATAGAAAAAAAGTCAATTTATTTGAAATAAAAAAAAATACACTGCTATTACAAACTACAAAATTTCATAACGAGAAATTCTTCCAAATATCATAAAAAATTAGATCATTAATAAATAAGAAAAGAAAACTACCATGGCTCCTGAATATCAAACAGGAATATTCAAAAAAAAAATGAAAGTGAAAAGCTAAATATAATATACTACTTACTACTACATACTTAATCGGGTAACAAATCGATGATGCTAATAATATACTAGGAACGGAGCGAAAAAAATAAACCGATTTCGTTGGAGCATCACGTGATAGAGAAATTGATCTTTTCTAAACATATAGTCCTTCGCTTCGCTCCGGACAATTACAAATAAACAACTTAATATTGCGTTCACGTTAATGTTGAGTACTAAGAACCTACTGACGTTCTATTTAAACAGGAGGAAAGCTTTCAAATTAACACCTTTTACGTTGGAAGTATCTTTAATGTCTTTAATGGATAAAAAAATCAACTATTTAACGATCATTATAACCTACTTATTAACGCGATCCAATGTTTCTTCTTGAATATAATCCTTGATAGAATCTCTTAAATTCTTACAACCTTTTAACCATTTCTTTAATTTTTTCTTTATCGATGTAGTTATAATAGTATAAAAATTTAAATTTATTGGAACGCCATTCCTTTGGACCATAATAACTGAACTGACATCTATAACTGCTGTTTAATAATTTCTTATTTTCTCCGGAGCGCGTTAACCATGTATTTGTAAGAAGTATTCAAGCGGATTTAATCTATAAGTAAATGTTCTCTAAATTTAGTAAATAATTGAATAATTTTAATGTTCTCAACGTCTAATGGAATGACGGAAAATAAAAGATTCAAAATATTATCGACAATATAAGGAAGTAAAAATGCAAGAGGATAACAATCACCTAGAATTTAGATCTCGCCCAGGAATTAATTGCGCTAATAAAATTTTGAAAGAGAATACCTTGATTGTAAAAACACTTGATCTTAAAATGGAAATGTAAAATAATTTTACCATAATAAATAATCACCTGGAGTCATTCAGAATAAGTATAAACTTGATTTTACAATCAAATTTCTGAAGTAAATCATCACGCGTTTCTTTCTTTATAATTATTTAAATAGCAAACCCACATACTTCTATTGGATTAATTTTAAATATAATTAACAATTAGAAAAATTTATCACCATGAATTCCCTTTGTGGAATTTGCTCGCTTAAGTTGAAATGGAAAAAATTTCCCGAAAAAGAAAAAAAATGCATTAAAAAACACTGTAAAAAAAATAAAGAACTTACCATATGATATTTTCGATTGTTTACGTAGCGAACAAAGCTAGCACGACTACGAGACGACATTTTTTGTGTAGTATTACATAAAATGGTTTATTTAGTTGTCGGTGATGATAATTCTATTCAGTTTGAGCAATTTTAGTGCCATATAGCGATTATAAAAAAAAATCTACTTTAAATCATTTTATATGTGTGTCTATTCTATTACTCATGAGTGCAATAAACTAACTATTTAATTTATTTTGGCCCCAGAAAAAGCTCATTTTATCATGGAAATATTCTCATTATTATTTCTTTTTTTTTTTAAAAAAAAAAAAAAGAAAGAAAGAAAAAGAAAAACAAAGCTGTTGCATTTACGGAATGTACGACATCAAAAGTGAGGTAATACGAAACGGGTTGATCTCATGTAACATAGCAATATTTAGTCTGCCATACTGTGCAGATCTGTATATATAGAAATGTTGCTGAAAATTCGTGCACAAAATCCTGGTGCATGAACTATAAAAAAACAATCATATGAAAGAAAATAAACCATAACATTTTTGTATCGATCTCCTTTTTTTGATTTTATTAAAGATAAATGCCGGCACCATAGATTAAGATAGATATGTAAAGTCTATTGAAAGAAACATATAAAAATAATATTTAAAAATTGAAAATATAAGAATTTCGTTTCTTCGAATACCTTACCTTTTTTTTATCATGGTCGTTTATAAAATTTCTAAGCCACACCAATTATCAATTAAGGACAAAAATAAGGCGTTTCCGTTTTCGATCAAAATCACGTGTTAATAATCAACGCACGATCGAAGAAAAAAAATTTATATTTATTTTTGGTTAACTCATTTTCACGTACAAAACGTGTGGATTCCGACGAAAATTTATTATAACCGATCATACAATTTCTATATAATCCACTTTGGTTTGAAATTTTTATTATTATGAGCAGTTACTGAAATTTTTTCTAGCATTGTTTTTTTATCTTGCGATTAATGCTTCGTTTCTTCGATCATACGTAGTTTCATTAGCAGATAAACGTCGTTTACCTGGTATGTTTCCGTTATGAAATAATTTTTTGGTAAACTAACAATTCTCCAATTTTTTATTAATGTAAAATTAATGGAATTTATTTAATAATTAGTTGGCCATCTCAACATTTTCGCTCAGATGTTATATATTTACCACTTCAAAAGTAAGCTCATATCACCGGATAGCAACTGTATTATCTACTAAAATTACTTCAAAAAAAAATGGTATGTATGATTTTATTTTATAATTTACGATATTCAACTTGAATATTTAAAGATTTAAGATTAACTGAAATTTATTGCATATTTATTTAGATCATCACGAAATTGCGCAATAAAATAAAATATATACCGAGTTTAAGACGTAAGTTCAACTGAATTGTACATTATATGTTCTATATTTACGGTAGAAAGATACTAGATGTTAACGTATAACTGGATTTGGCATCATATTATTATTATTGATTGATAATAATATTAATAATACTTGAAAATTTAGAATTAGTATAGACGAGCTTTTTCCGTATCAAATTCTGTTTTAGATTGTAAGACTCATTTTGATGCTCTTTACAGTTACAATATTTTTTAATACGAGGTAACTCGTAATGAATACCATTATGCTATTCATACAATTTTACTATATCAGCTAATGTTCTACTTTCTTCTATCTATTTAATAGGCTCCAAATGTATAACGTCGATGTCCTCAAATGTTTTTATATATATCTAGTTGTGTGTGCGATCTGAATATGAAGTGAGTGTTAAATTAAATAATTAAGTCTTTGCGCGTGATGGAAATCGATCATTGTGAATCTAAACTAATTATCTTTTAACTTCAACTTGATATTAATCAAATTATTAGTTAAAGCATGGCCATTGATTCTCAATTGTGATAGTGAGGGCTCATTAACATCAGAGACGCAAAGGTAAAGGTTACCCAAGAAATGACAGATGTCGATATTGGTCATATGATTGGGGATCAAGAACATGTACGTTCAATTAATCATTTGGTGAACATTAGCACGTCCTTTTAAAAGTTTCTTTCGTTGATTGTTAATCTATTATAATTAGCGCGTCAATTGATTAAGTTCAGTAATAAGTTTCAAATTATGTAATTTAAATTTTACTTTTTACTAAAGAACCTATGTCTAGGCGAAAGAAAGTTTATATAATGAACATGAAACACTGAGTCGTGTAACCTTTTTCTTATTTTATATACTATATTTTATGTAATTTTTAATTTCTAAAAAAATATTACGTATATGTACGGTACTGTTT